GGTCCAAGGGTTGTCTGGGAGGGACCAAGCAAGCAATAGTCGCTCGGCGTGTTTTCCCAATGTTTCGATTAACGTTAATTGATAGGAACCGTCGCTCAAACAACGCAAATTCAAATATTTTTGTAATTTTTTTAAAATTGTTTCATTTTTTACATTAAACACAATCTTTGCTTGGTCAATTGGCGCTTCACTTCAAAGGCCACGACCCCCAAAGCGGTACCCGAGTTCAGGCTGTCCACGCCATTGCTCAACGGCACGTTGATCCGCGCCCCATTGAACCGGCTGGCTAAGTTGTAGGCCTCCGCACTCACTCCCTCGGTTTCGCCCCCAATCACCAGCACTACATGGCCCGCGCCCTTAAAATTTACCGCCGAGTAGGACAAAACGGGGATGTTGGCGGCCAACTCGCGCACCGACTTCACACCGCCACTGGTAGCTGATACAGAGTTATTGTCGGCTATGAAAACGTGGGCCCCCGGGGGCAGCTGCTCGGCTATCTTCTCCCACTGTAGATTGGGGGTGGTTTTTACGCGAAAGTGCGCTCCGCAGGCGCTGCGCAACACTTTGGACTCCCATAGATGGGCGCAGCCTTTGGTGAGGATCACTTGATAGCACCCCACGCCGCTGCAAGTGCGCAGAATGGCCCCAACATTTCCTGGCTCCCTGACGTTGTCGCATATGACGGTTATCGGTAGAGGGTGGCGGGCTTCAACCCAACCTGGCAGGGGAATTTGGAAAATCCCCATTACACCTGGAGTGGTGGTCAAGTCGGACCAGACTTGCATTTCCCGATAGGGCATCTTGTAGAGGCGCCCCTTGCTAGGCAGAAACGGCTTTAAAGTGCTCACCTCCTTCAGCCTGCTGAACAGAAGATATTCCATTTGGCAACGCGCTTCCAAAGCCTCTCGAATCAACCGCAACCCTTCCAGAAGCATCAGCTGCCCGGTTTTGCTGGGGGTTTTCACCAGCGACATGATTTTTGTGATTCTGGTGTCGTGGTTATCCATTTTCGTGTACACCAAGTTTCCCTCGCTGTCCAGCAACGCGCCAGGCTGGATGTCCATCTTTGTGGGCTTACGCGGTGTGAGCACGGTCGTTTTGCTGCCGGACCTGATCACTAGGTTGGCATGTGGCACCCAGCCATCAGGCCCTATTGCTTTCACTCTACCCTCGTAAACATCGCTGGACGCTTGACGGGTTGCGCTAAAACGCGGCCGCAGAAGCAATTGAGCGTAAAGGGTTGGCTTCACTCGCAGAAATAAGTCCGACATGGTTCAGCGCAAATGATTACTAACAGATTACAGGGGTTAGGTACTCTGTGATCTGTTACTTAACCTCTACAAACTTATAACCCTACCACAAAATATCCCCCTGGGGGTATGTTCTGTGTAACCCTACTTCTGGCGGACAAAAGGAAGAACATCATTCCTTTTTTTATCCCTTATTATTAGGATGTTTTAAAAATATTTAGCCTACTAATATCAGGAGATTTGGAATTTATTAACAAGCTGTAAAATATTCAAGAGCTTTGAATTTAAAGACCGCGCCCTTTCTACATAACCCAGCTTTCCAGCTGGGCCAGCCAACTTCAGCTCGATTCAGGGGGCCAGTCAGCCTGACGTTTGGGCAGTGTTGTGGTCCGCACCTTTAGCACAGTTTTGCAAAATTGGGGCCCCGCCGAAACCGACTGGGGTAGTGAAACGACGGCTGCGCCACCGCAGCATGAGCATGTTTACTTTCAGGGGGCCCCGTTGAGTCACTGTTAAGTAGTGAGGTGCGCGGTCATTTACCCTGCAACCATTGATCTAGTTAAACTGGAAAAATCCATAGCCATGGAATAGGCCGCTGATGAGTAGCTGTTGAGCTGACCAGCACCATGCAGAAGAAGCAGGATGAGTTCGACCAGAAGAAAATGGACCTGGAGGTAAACATGTCGAATGAGGGGCCCCTTGAAGGGGTAATGCAAGTGGAATTGTTTAGGTGTACCTCCAAAGGATGGAGTCGCGGATTGCCAGCATGGCCCCAGTGGGGCACACGGCGGACGTGCTGGAGGTGCAGCTGAGGGAGCAAAAGGGGTTGCATGCGGAGCTGCACCAGTTCAAGGCACAAATCGAATCTTTCCAGCAACTGACCCAAAGACTGATCACTGCACACCAGCATGAAGACACCAGTAGGTACAAAAAGGTCTGTGCTTCTCAGCCTTGAAGAGCTGCAGGCAGGAATTAGTCGGTCAAATTCTGCAGGCCGCAGAATACATCAATCAGCACTACCTGCGCTTGGATGCCTGCATTATCAACCGCGGCAAACTGCTCCATTCCGCTCTTAGCTCCTTGCAGAACTTCGATCGCTCCTTGGACAAGTTTCTGGCCTGGCTTAGCGAGGTGGAGTCCGTGGTGGAGAACCTGGAAGGGGAGTCAGAGTCGCGTCGTGGAGCCCACCAGTTGAAGGAGATCCAAGCAGACATCGAGCGGCAGGCCTCCACGCATGCAGCGCTGCGCTCCTCCAACCTGGCTCTCTTAGGCACCTTATCAACCGAAGACGCCCTGATGGTGCAGCTCAGAGGCGACGAGATGGAGCGCCGATGGCAGGTAGGGGCTCACAAGCCATTCTCCGCAAAAAACGTTCACTCGAGTCGATTTATAGGCCCTAAAAACACGTACAGCAGACCTACGAAACCGCTTGGAGCACAACGCTGACTACTGGAACTCAGTCCTGCTGTCGCTACGCGAACTCACCGAGTGGGTCATCAGAAAGGACGCAGAATTGGGCTTGGCGGCCCGACAGGACGACCATCGCGCCTTCCGCCAGCAGTTGGAAGACAAGCGCCCGCTAGTGGAGTCCAATCTGAGGAGCGCGCGCCAATTTGTGCTTGGCGACCCTTCAGGGGAGCTTGCCCGTAACTTGCGACGGGAGCTAGTAAAGCTATCCGACAAGTGGAACGCTTTGATCGACAAGTCCGATAAGTTGGCCCAAAAGTTCGAGCAGAACTCAATGGTAATAGCTCGGCTCTATTTGGGCTTTTCAATGGTCTGCCAATTGCCGGAAATCCTTGCTTAGAAGCTGAAGCAGCTGACACTCAGCTTGGACGAGGCGTGTGCAGCCGTTTCGCGCTTGGAGCGCGCCACTCTGTCCTGGAGCGGCCCCAGAAGTGCAGCCGAGGCCAGGGAGCTGCTCAACAACTTGCGCGCGTTGGAGCAGCAGCTGCCGCCCCTGCAGCGCTCCTTGGAGGACGCCAGGTTGCAGGCCGGCTCTTTGGGCGGCGCGCTGCCTCCCAATCTGGGCGGCCAGCTGGAGGACTGCGCCGCCAGGTGCAGGGCGCTGCATGCCGCCATCCGGGAGCGGCGCGAGGTCCTGACTAGCAGCTCGCAAGGTTAGTGGCGCAACCTCAATCAGAAAATCCAAAATCCCTGGTGAAATTTTGGATACAATAGTTTCAAACTCAGTTGGTCATTTTAAAGTATCTGAAAAAACCATCTTGATTAAGCCAGGGTTGACTTGATTTTTTTCAAGTGATTTAAATCACCTGACTTTTTGGAAAAAAATCACGATTTAAATCAAAGTTAATTTTTTCAAGAAACTTTATAAAAATAAAAAAATATAAAACAGA